TCCCAAAACAGAAACACAAAGATAAAAAGTCGGAAATCAATATCGGACGTTAAAATCAGCCCAGTTTTACATATCGGACCGATATTCTAAAAAATGACCATTATCGACCGATACCAATATTAATGCCGATATATCGTGCGTCCCTAGGAAAAAGCTATGAGTCTGGTTATTTAAAGACAAATAATTGGTATTGTTGCCAATATTTTTTTATTGGAAGAWTTTGCTTTGYGATGAATTTGCCTAATAAYAAATAGAAAGTCTCCATTCACATCAAACACCTGTGTTGGGGGGAAATCTGTAAACAAATTGGTATAATTACCTCCGCCAAGGGCGAGGTAATGTTTTCAGTCGCGTATGTCTGTCCGTCTGTCGTTCTGTCTGTGGACAACATTACTCAARCACTTGTGGACGGATTATCATGAMATTTTTACCCCATGAGGGTACTGGCTCAAGAAACAAATCTTTAAATTTTGGTGATGTTCTGGATCAYGATGCGGATACAGGAATTTTTTTTCTTTTAACACTCATCAGCAAAGCTGTGATGCTTTCACAGGGCGTGGGTTTCAATGTGTCCAGCAGGTGGCACTGTAGTACTGGTGTGCCTCTTTGTAACTCTATTACAGGATGGGGGAAACTGGTCTTGGAGGAGGTTTGCACTCAGAGTGCGCTTCTAGTTCTTGAACTGAAGTCAGGGGCCAAAAAAGGCCCCCGGGCCACACTTTGGACATCCCTGTTTTAAACCAGCCCATTTGAGCCTACAGAGGTAAGTCTCTGCTTCTAATCAACCCCGAGAATAAAGGACGGCGGGTGTGATGTTGAAACCTGAGCTCACCTGTGCAACCTCATCTCTGGAGTTCCACTTCACAGCCAGGAGGATCTTAGGGAGGATCTCTGGCATGTTGACACAGTGGTATCTAAAACAGGGAGATTATACATTCAGTTTGTGTAACCTGTCTGTACACTTACTGCAGAGATACTACAGCAGTCAGAGAAAGTACCTGTGACTCCACAGGAAGTCCTTCTCCTGCTCAGTGATTTCAGACAGCGGGTCTTTGTTACACACTTGTCGAAGCTGCTCGTTGTCGCTCTCAGTCAGGGGGTTGTCTCGCGCCAGTCTGTTGCTCTGAAAAATCGTATTACCAGGCCTTCAATAACAAAACTGAGATTATGTTTTTTTATTAACAGCATGTGGCGTCCACATGTGAACCAAAGGATGTCCTCTTCTTACCAAACCGGTGTGACCGTAATTAAAGCCGAGCTCTCTGGATATGTTCCAGTTCGCGTGCTCCTCAATGATGCTCATGTCCGGGAACTTGACAGGACAACTGAAATGGTCAAACTCCAGCTCCAGGCAGGGAGTTTCCTGGGGGGAAGAGATGGGAGGTGGTTGAGGTAATCAYAGAAAGGTGTCTGTGTCAACGAGTGATTAATTAAATGGGATAAGAAGCTCAGGTGTTTAAATGGAAGCAGCTTAAGGGCAGCTTTGAAACGCTGCAGGYCCACMGCAGCTTTGTTAAATCCAGCTGCAMGTCTTAGATGTTAGCAGCTGACACAACTATTGTAAAACTTAGACAAGACTGATTGTTTTAATATTTAATTTCCACATGTGAAAGATTTACAATCTTTTTACTGATATGACCAGAAACCAACAGCAGATGAGTCAAAGTTTATTACTTATATTTCTACAGTGGATTCAGAAACTATTCAGGCCTTCTTCACATCTTGAAGCTTGTTCTCCTGCAGCTTCATCTTATTGTTGTGTTTCCTCATTAATCTACACTCAGGACCAGAGACCGTCAAAGCCCAAAAATAATTTTATACAATCTTCTAAGTTTATGTAAAAAAAAAACAGCAAAAAAAACAAACAAACTCTGAACTATCATGTTTTCAAGTATTTGTTTTGTTTCAGCTTCCCCTCACCCCGGGCCAGTCTCCCAGTTCCTGCAGCTGAGAAACACCCCAGCATGATGCTGCCACCACCATGCTTTAATGTTGGATTAATGTTGGGCGGCTGTTTTGCTCTAAGGAAAAGATTTGGTTTTACTATTCTGCCATAAAAAACCCAGATCGGTGCAGCCCTGCATGTTCTGTTTGTCCTCCTGGAACTTGTCTTTACACAGGAGCTCAGTTAGAGGAACCATCAGGTTCCTGGTCACCTCTGAGGTCCTTATCTCTAAACTGCTCAGAGGGGTGACCAGCTCCTGAGAGAGTCCTGCTTGCGTGAAACTTCTTTCATCTGAAAATTATGGAGACCACTGATCTCTGGAGAACCTTCAGTAGAATATTTTGTAGCCCCCCCACACCGTGTCGATCCTCTGAGCTCACGGTTCGGTTTCTGCTCCGACTGGGAAAGGGAGGCCCTCTGCAGAAAGGCGTGTGCCTTTCCAAATCCTGTCCAATTAATGCAATTCACAACAAGTGGACTTCAGTCCAAATGCAGAAGCATCTCAGCAGAGATCAAGACAAACAGCATCTGAGCTAAATTTGAAGTTTTTAAAAATATCCTGATTTTTTTATTTTTTTTTTAATTGCTAAACTGTGTACTAATATTTTTTTATTTTGTAAATGCAGGGTACTGTGTGTAGACCAGAGATTC